TTTTAATGATACAACTGCAAATATGTAGTTAAACACCTGAGAAATCAAAATAAAAATTTGGTACATTAGCCTTTGTTTGCATTTCCAGAGGTCAAACATGTCTAGTTTTTCACCAGGTTCGCACACACTACATGAGAGATTTTGGCCCATTCCTCCACAAAGATCTTCTCTAAATCAATCAGGTTTCTGGGCTGTCGCTGAGAAACGTTGAGTTTGAGCTCCCTCCAAAGATTTTCTATTGGGTTTAGGTCTGGTGACTGGCTTGGCCACGCCAGAACCTTGATATGCTTCTACTAGAACCACTCCTTGGTTATCCTGGCTGTGTGCTTCAGGTTATTGTCATGTTGGAAGACAAAGCCTCGACCCATCTTCAATGCTCTAACTGAAGGAAGGTGATCGTTCCCCAAAATCTAATGTTGTGTAACTAATGTAGTGTAATTACAAATACCACTCTCAGAGAGAGCAGCCATGAAAAATTAACTTGATTGTAGGACAGATGTTTTATTTGCAGAGGACAGCGACGGTTCAGTAAATACAAAACCAGAACCGTAATATAAAGACTATAGATTATTGGATATATATTCATGTGCAGCAAAAGTTAAAAACTGATGGGAAGGCTGCTGCAAGCTGCTTGAGTTGGTTTAAGCTTAACTTTTCATTCTTGTTCTTTAGCATTTAGAATCCTTGTTAGTTTGTTGTTCAAAGAAATTGCAGCTGACATTTGTAAACACAGCTCTTGGCATCTGCTGGCTGACGACATGTTACCGTTATTGGAACCAACAGCTGTGTGTACTCTGCTGTCTCTCTTTGGATAGATGAATCTATTCCACATATCTTTTTATGGACTACATTTCATTTACATAAGCACTGCTTTTTCTTGCATGCCCTGTAATCCTTGGGGATTAGAGAAGAAAAAAATCTCTTTTGTCACCTTCTTGAAAAATCAAATAAGCACAATCTAAAGCTCAAGGCTTAAATCATACAATCTTAAGTAAAAGACCTAACAGTGTTTTTCAAGGGCTGTGGAAGCTATATTAGTTTAAATTTAATGAATCAGGTTTAAAAGGCAAAGAATTTTTTTTTTGTTATAACTAATAATCTTTCAAAGTGACACAGAGTCATATTCAGTTTTGTGCACATTTCAAAGCACTACCAGTGTACATTTTAAAATTTCATCAGCTACAGTACGCACCTCTCCTAAGACAGTATTCTGATGATTGTGCACTATTTGCAGTCTGCTGAAAGGTTCTCATTAACAACTTTCCAGTGAGGAAGAGGCCTGTGAAAGAGTATGCTCTAAAGATTATACACAGAAATTGGCAAAGCATTTTTGGCAAAGCAAATTTACATCCTAACCAGAACAAGTGCAGGACTCAAACATTCATTGCAGTGTAAATTGCTAAATTGCTCCAGAATAGCCCAAAGGTGCACAATGACCTCACACTCAATGGATGTAGAATTTGATGTGTAGCCAAACAGAAATGTAAAACACAACTCACCTTCATATCATGGTGTAGCAAGTAGAGCCTCTGCTCACGCTTTCTGCACTTCTTTAACTGTCTTTACCTTTGAATTTTTTTTTCTGTTTAAAATTGGTCCCAAACTATTGCCATTGCTTTTTTCACATCATGTTTGCTCTGAGGTTATATTTGATCTTGATAAGTTTTGAGAGTTTCTGCCATCAGAATTTTACCTGAATTTATTCAGTTTGTGCATGGTGCATGGCTTTTCTGTTGCTTTATTTTGTGGAAATTGGCTCTCAATGTGATTTGCTAGAGAACCAAAGCCATAGAAAGGTTTTTTTTGTTTTTTTTTAACTTTAAGAGTGATAATTGCCAATTACTGTATTGCGATTGTTCTTTAATTTGTTTGAATCGCAGCACGATTTGTTACAGTTAAGATCTGTTAGCCCACTTAATGCTGAAAACTATTTTCAGCGTAAGGTGGGCTAACAGATCTTACTGTATGCAGAAAACTATTTAAGGAATTTTTCTGGGAACCTTCAAGCCAGCCAGTAAATATGGCCAAGGTGTGGCTGGTAAAATTAAAATAAAGTGATGTAGTTAGTTAATTTAGATTTCACATAGAATAAACTACTCTTTCCTAAGAGCCAAGCTGTTTTGGGATTTATTTTTTCTCTTCATAAATTCTATAATTAATCTGCATTTTGTATTTAATCAGGATATCTTGTCTTTTATTACAATGTTTTCATTATCTGTAACATTTCCTCATGATAAAAACAAAAATATAATAATATATCTCAATCACACTGTAATCCAGATGTTTCAACCATTTAAACATTTTAAATTTTGTTAATAGCATCTGAAAATAAAGGCAGAATTAAAATGCAGTTAGAGAGAGCCTGGGAAAAATGCAAGGACATTTAGTCCCTCTCTCAAAACCTAAACACACGGCTTTTGAGGAAAAATACAGATTTTTTTCAAAGGTTACAATCTTTTTTTTTTTTTTTTTTTTCTCTTAATAAGACAGGATTCAGGAAAAAAAAAATCATTTCAACAGTCAAACATGATGATGCTAATGAAATACTCTATGGCCATTTTGCATATAGACCATGACTTGCTAAATTCTTTTCTTTTAAAAACTGTAAAAGACAGAAACCACTAAGCATCATTTTGTGACCTTAAGATCAAAAACACCTCATCACCTTATCAAAGTCTACATTTAAATCCGATTATTATAATGTGGCGTGGCCTTAAACAAGCTGTTCGGTCAAGTAAAGCCTCTAATGTGGCTTTGTTAAAAGAAGCCTTTGAAGATAAGTGGACCAGAAATTCTCCACAGTGATTTTAAAAAGACTCAATGCCAGGTATTTTAAAGTTTGAATGCCTGTAGTTGCCAGCTAGGGTGGTAAAACCGGTTATTTCTCTGATATAACTATTTCCTTGAGGGTTGGAAAGATAAAAAAGGAAACAGGAAGCCTAATCATGGGATATTGTTTTCCTTGGAAAAAATACATTTTAATGTATTTTATTTGTTTAGGGTTTTTTTTATTTTCAGTCTAAGATCATGCTCCTATAATAGGGTTCTTACCATGGCTTTTGTACCCATTTTATCAGAGCACCAATGGCTATGCTGTTGCCGCAGTATGCAGGCGAGATTGTGCTTTTTTAAATAAGCACTTCAATACTGCATTTATTGTAAATAACACATGTGAGTAGATGTTCTACATTGCACATTGGAATATTTTATATGGCTGTGGTAACAGTGCCACAGTAACTGAAATATTGCAGCTAAGTTTGCATATTTGAGGGATACAGGTAGATGGGTTATATTGGTATCTTTGCAGAGGAAATGGGAATTAAAATAGGGAGAAGGGCAGTGAGAGAATAAAAGTGTTACGGAGGTGTTATTCATTTAACCATGATCACAAGAGTTTTTTAAAAACTTGTTAAGCAGCCAAACCATCACAGACCATCACAGTAGGGATGCTTGCATATTGGAAAGTTTATTGTTTTGTTACGTATCTGCCCAAGTACATCCTCTGCACCAGGGTTACCATCGTTGCCCTAGGCTCCGGCCTTCTGCGTTAATGTTGAATGAGGCATATGAATTATCCATAGAGTCAAAGAAAAGGATGCGCAGTTCAAATTTAGAAATGAGGCAGCACACTGCAAGAACAAAAACATAAATGCATATTAAATATTTTTACTAAACAATTTACCTGAATCCAGCTGCAGTAGACAGGAGTGGGGAATACAGTGTTATTCTGCATGTTAGTGATGCTGTTGTCTTGCTCGAACAGAAGGCTGATAAATTATTAATTTTTCAAGACATAGCAGGTGATTTCAGCCCAGGGTGTCGGGTTACGTGGAGTTGTCCTGCAGTATGTTGCATTCAAAACACTGACAGGGAGCTTAGTTCATGCTCTATTGATTCTGTCATCTGTATCCTTTATTTTTTTCAGAGGTTCCTTACACTAAGTTAGCAAGCTCTATAAGCATTAATATCTTATGCATATTAAAAAGTCAAACATAGAGACACAGTAATTTGAAAAAGTAAGTGGGATAATCTTGAAAGTAAACAAATGTAATACTTTATAAGGCTGTAAATGACTATTCCTCCTATTACTGGTGATGCCCTCTGCTGCTAGACAATTTATAACTTTATGTGCAACAAAATCCCTTGCTCTGTGAGGCTTCAGAAGTTGTCTAAGACAATTAAAGAACAAACAAACTAATGAAGACAGAGGAACACAGCAGACAGATCACAGATAAAGCTGTGGAGGAATTTAAAGCTCAAGTGTTAAACAATATCCTAAATATCCATCCATTCTTTATCTGACACGCTTAATTCCAAGCAGGGTCGCGAGGGGTGCCATTTTCAGCTGTCTACAGGCGAGAGGCGGGGTCGCCTCTGGACGGGTCGCCAGTCCAACGCAGATATCCTAAATATATTTATTTATTTTTATTTACTAATTCATAAATTCTGAACATTCATATAGTATCATGAAAACACATGTCACCCACTTTACAAAGTTAATTTAATTGAATCATATAGAGACATTGGATAAAAGTTCTCTATCTCAGGAAACCCAGCAAATTGCATTGAGTCACTGTTGAGTCAGATAGCTCATAGCTCAGGAGGAAGACTCTGTTTTCGGAAAAAATTTTCATCAATAAATCTGACCTTTGTAGAACATGGAAAAGAACATGGCAAAAAAAAAATCCAGAAAGATTGATGAGACAAAACAAACAATGTGGCCTAAATAGAAAGTAGTACATGACACTAAAAACAATTGCTGCACATTATCCTGAAAGCACCACCCTCACATTGAAACATGGAGGTGGCAGCATTGGACTGTGGGATGACTGTTTTCCAGTTCCACACATCATCTATGTCTATACACAATGGAAAATGAATCAGCAATAGATACCTCTGTTGCTCTTGCTGCTCTGCTTTCAAAAATGAAATCATTAATTAAGACAAACAGATGCAATAGTAGTAGCTAAACATACGCCCTCTTCCACTTCCATGTAGATTTTTGTTGGCTCGGCAGCTCTTACTATACATTTGTTTCTGCTGTATGTCCTGCCTTGAAGCATCATACTGTAATGCGATTAGCCAACCCACTTTGGAGTCATGTTAAATAGTTAAAACAAGTGTGGGATAAGAAGCATTCTTGTGTGTTTCAGAATGCACAAATACTGTGAGAATTCAGCTTGCAGGCAAGGTCACTTAGAGACACAAGAAAGCAAGTTATTTAGGATTTTTCAGTATTAAACTTTTAAAAAAGGAAAAATAAAAGGATGCTCTCTATCATATCATCTAATATCTCCTTATAATACAATACATTTTTTATTTTTACGTCAAAATTATTGCAGAGGCTTTGGATACTTCTAGAAGGTGTTGTGCCACAGACCTGAAGGGTTGTAAGGATTACCTGTGCTCCTATTAAGTTGATTTTGAATGTTTGTGTGTGCAGATGGAAAACCAGGATTCAGTGCGAACTCTGCTGAAACGGACCGAGGCCGAGCTGAACGTGCGCGTCGCGGACGCCCTGAGGAAGCAGGAGGATCCTTTGCAGAGACAGCGCCTACTAGTGGAGGAGGAAAGACTCAAGTACCTCAATGAAGAAGAACTCATCATCCAGCAGCTTCAGTCAGTCACAGTATTTTTGAAGCTATAAAATGAAACAGCTTTCTGTCTAAATCCAATAACTACAGATACATATTGTTTTTTATGTTGAAATGATGTTTGTTTGCATGTTTTTTGAGGGCAGAAGTTAGTTTCTCTGCATTTACAAGGTATGTTAGAGGAATTAAAGGTTTTTGTTCTTCAGCTCAATGATTCATATAGTGACTCAGTGATAAGAGGAAATTTAACTGTAATTAAGTATGGCAATGAGCAAGATGCTTATTAAGATCTGAGACACATGGCTGTCCAGTAACTAATTAAAGTGCCTGCAAAGATGAGAACAGAGAGCTACCTTGAGATTTAATCATCAGATACTGCAACTTGCCTCAGTTTCATATGTGGAAATGTTAAGCTCCTTATTCTTAACATATTCCTGAATAATTGGTTGAACTCTTTGAGATCTTTGCAAATCAATGCTTGTTTTTCTTCCACACAAAATGCAGCCTCCTACGTTCTTTCAATAACTACTCTTCAATGTAAGAATTGCTCTTTGGCTCTTTCATTTCATGTAATCAGCATTCTAATTTTATACCAGCGTAAAGTTTGTCTTTCAGATTTTAAGAGTAATACAATAAAACATGCTTTTTTTGTTTAAAATGAAAAATGAAAGACAAATGGAACCGTAAAGAAACACAGAAAAGTAAAAAGTACAGTTTTGGCCATCCAGTGCGGCTGTTAATCAGCAGCAGTATAACTAGAACTAATAAAAGAGGAGAAGGGTATCGATTTGAATAAAACTTGTTAATAAAAGAAGTAACCCTGATGTTTAGCCTTCTGTTTGTTTCATCTCAGCGATCTGGAGAAATCAGTGGAGGAGATCCAGAAGGAATCGTCTGTCAACCACAAGCTGGTGACGGTGCAGGAGCTGGAGGAGAAGGCTGCAGTTCTAAGAAAGCTGGGAGAAACACTCACCGAGCTGAAAAGTGAGTCATGCTGGCACATCCCTCCGTCTGCAACACACAACACACAAAACACTGGTTTTGTATAGTAGACAGTTTATTTTCCACTAATTACTCACTGAGAGGCTGATTATCTTTTAGTCACCCGCAGCTAGTCCGCAGTATTTAATCACTCTCACATCGCTCGTTGTCTGAATGAACTTACTGACCATTAGCAGTAGCTCAAAAAATGCTCCATTTAATTAACACAAAAGACTTTCAGCATCCTTAGGAGGTGGTTGGTTGATAAAAGCATGGCTGCTTTGTGTCCCACCTCTTCTTTTCTCCTGCAGATCAATTCCCGAGCCTGCAGAGCAAGATGCGGGTGGTGCTGCGGGTGGAGGTCGAAGCTGTGAAATTCCTTAAAGAAGAGCCACACAGACTTGATGCCCTGTTAAAACGCTGCAAGTCTATAACCGACACCCTCGCCACGATGCGCAAGTATGGACACCAGCACATTTGGGGGCTTTAGACTCACGCTCGATGGAAGAGCAGCTTATCCAGTGATGTTAAAAAGTGCTTTCCCTCTCTTTTAGGTTTCTATAGGTTGACATTCAAGTATTTTAAAGACACTTTTATCAGATATTGACATTTCTTTAATATTTTAAACCAGAATAAATATTTGAGAAGTCAAGTACTTTTCATGTCACCAAATGCAGATAGGGATGTTTTAAATGGGTTCCACTGATATTCATTTGTTTTGAAGCAGTATTGCTCCAAACACTGAAAGGAGAAAAAAAAAACACATCCACTAATCACAACGTCAACCTGATAATTTATTTAAAGCTATTTTCAGTCACATAAATATGCTTTGTGATTTAGTGTGTAGTGAAACTGGAGACATCCTTATCAGGTTTAGTCCTAAAAAGCTTCATTATAGTCTTAATTATTCGGTTTTAATCTTTGTCCCTCTCAAAATTAGACGAGCGTTTCATAAACTTGGCCGATTAGTTTTTTTTCTTCTTTGTTTTTCCAGGCAAGCAAATGATGGGGTTTGGAAAAAGCAGGACAACTTTTCAAATCCCTCAGCAAAGCACAATGATGACTTGCAAAAGTTTTCAGGCTTTGACATCCCCAGCAGCCCTCCGTTAACCATCAATGATATTGGAGGAGGTAACAGCCTGTCTAACTGGAGTCCGCACTCCAGCCTCAGCCGTGGTCTCGGAAACCCGTCCGGTTCTCACAAGGACAATCATCCTCCTATTCCCCACAAAGGCAAAGCCCTTGAGGAACTGGAGCGCCGTGCTGCCGCTGACAAAGCTTTGTCAATGGAAGTCCGACTAGTAAGACTAATTTTTATTTAAAAAAAGAAATGCTTTAACCTACCTACCCCCACTATACTAGTAGTGCTACAATTAAGCTAATATACCCTAATAATTTAGATACAGAGACTACTATGCATATGGGGTCATAATAATACTCAACAACACAAAAGACAGCAACAGCTGAATTTAACTTTCCAATAAATAAATAAATACATACATATCTGCACCTTAAAGCAAGGATAACATTCCAGGAGGGTAAAAAGCACCCACATCTCAAACTTCCTCATAAAAATAGGTTGATTAGGATATACCAAAGCCTTGAGTTGTTAGGGGTTCATTTGAATCCAAATATGTACTTTTCATGTTGTTAAAGAGAAATTTTGCTGCATTATGAGGTTAAGGAGAAAAATAAAAGACATGCTGTGACCCTTAGATCTTGGCATGTTATTTTCCTGTAGTTAAGGGCATCTAAGCATAGTTGCAACTAAACCCTTGGTGGATCATCTCACATTAATTAGTGGGACATCACAAATATTTAGGAATTTGATTCTTTTAGAGTAGACTACACACACCAAGATATGCTGTGTGCCAGGTTAAAATGTTGTACAGCATTGCACAGAAAATACCCCTTATGCTGCAGATGATAATACTGATCATTTTGGACTAAAGCTAATCATTTTGAGCATTTTTTGGGTATTTTTTTTTAAGTGACATGTTTAAAAAAAAAAAGAAACATTTTGGTTGAACAGCTATAAGTATAAATTATGGTATTTATAAAGCAGGTTTAGTTGTTATGTTGGTTGCAAAATTGTCATGCTTATATTTATTTGCAATTTGAGTGGAAAATCAATGATTCTGCTAAAAAAACCTACAAAAAAAACCCTGAAAAATAACTCTTTGGCAAATACCAAGTGTGCAGTAGCTGCAGAGTTGTCTTCACACTGAAATGAGCTTTACCCAATTCCCTGGAATCCAGAAAGACTTGGAGAACTGATTGCCATCTGGCAGTCCTAATCTGATGTGACACGGCCATACTGGTTGCTATCCTTCACTTTGCAGGCAGCAGAGCGGGACTGGGAGGAAAAGCGTGCCAGTCTTACACAGTACAGTGCTCAGGACATCAACCGCCTGCTGGAGGAGACCCAAGCTGAACTGATGAAGGCTATTCCAGACCTGGACTTTGCTGCCAAGCAGATCAAGCCCTCCTCCAACACCCCATCGGCCCAGATCCCTCAGAGTGGGGCGACAACAACGGAGCACCGCTCTAGCAAGCCACAAAACAAGCTTTCAGCTAAAGAGGGGGGGTCCAGGCGTGGCTCTGGTAAGTCAGGAAGTCATCATCTTTGGTCACATTTAAACCATTCTGACCCATTTTTGTAAAACTTTCAGCATCTTGTTTTGTTTCTTTTATTTTTTTAATATTTCCCCAGATGAGCTGACAGTACCACGGTATCGCACAGAAAAACCCTCCAAGTCTCCTCCCCCTCCTCCACCTAGACGTAGTTTCCCTTCGTCTCCAGGTGTGACTTCTCGCAGTGGAGAGCCCTTAATTCCTGGAAAAAGCATAAAGGTGCCAAACGATCTACAAATCAGCAGAATCGTTCCTCAAAATGTTCTGCAAATTCATGAAAACTGGTGGTTTGTTGAATGTTTTGGGTGAACAAACCCTTTCCAGACATGTGGCTTTAGATCATGTTTAATCATTTTGTTTTCATAGAAATCCGAATCCGAAGAGAATGACACCCAAAAGCCACACACGAAACTGAGGAGGACCATGTCTGAAAACCCTCGTCCTGCATCTACACCCCCCACGCTAGCCTCCGGAGAGAAGGAGCAAGGAGAGGAGGAAAAAATTGCTGCTGAACTTGAGGTAAATGAAACATGGACTGCACATCAATTGAGTTACATTATGATGGTAATAATGTTGGCCGACTGATGGCAAAAACTGCACTTTATAGTTATAGATGTTCCTTCCACAATGCGTCAGTGGATTCCAAGAGCACATACACACTCAAAGGGCGATACGCTCATCATCATTACCACATGTTCAAGCAGCAGGTGCCATATGCCCCCCTTGCCCCTGGCACCAAGAAAGCCCAAAGATCGCATAATGCTCAGTCGCACACAACATAACCCAGAACTAACAGGTCGACAGATGGACCCTGAGAGCTCCATGTTCTGTGTTTAAGATGGCCTGCCAGAAAATATGAAGCAACAAACTCTCAATAATAACTGAATTGGATTTGTCAGTGGCTGTTGTTTTGTTTCCTTGACATTTGCTTAACCTTCGTTTTGCCTCCCCAGCTGTTTGAAAGAGCCCCAGTCAGGCTCTCTCGCCCCACTTCGCTTTTTCTCCCTGCTAGCCCACACATCAGGAAAATCCCTTCCCCCTCCAGGCTACACCTGTCGCCTCCTGAGGCCTCTTCTGAGGTAACACTCTGGCTGACCAGGAGCAGTCTGGATTGTTCCCTTACGTCTCTTTTACTTCTTAACTACCTTCACTGTAACTACTTCTCTGTTTTTGACCGCATGGACTTTCAAAATGCTTGATTTAAGCCTCATGGCTACACAACTGCTGCCGACCTCTTTTTGAAATTTATTTACTTGCAGATTGTATTATAGGTACAAAAAAGATGGAAACATTTTGCAAAGGCATTCTTTCCATTAGAGGGATAACTTATTATTATGCATGACTGTTCACTAATGGTATTTACCAGGTTGTCCCATAGTTTATCTTAAGAAATCACATATTTGTGTTACAAAATAATACTGTATAACACCCAAACTAAGGTTAGTGGGCCTCATGCAAGAACGTGTTTTGCAAGAACAAATTTGTTCGTAAGAGGGATTTAGAGAGGACCTTAAAGAACTTTAAATGATGATAGGAGAGGCTGTTCAAAAAGTAGAAGAGAATGATTTCTTTATCTGTGCATCCAGCACAGATAGACAACATTTTGGTGCTTCCAGTTAGTGTAGAACCAGTATTTTTTTTAAACAGGCACTTAAATAAAATAAAATGTATATTTTGATTGCATTTTTCAATTTGTATGCATAGCAAATACGATAAAAGAGATTATTTTATTCATTTCTCACACGTCTTCAGCATAGGTGCCGCTAAGTTCAGGGGGAGTTCTAAGCAGCTGAATGGGCTTTATATACATGACTTTCAAACACTTTGTGTAAGAAAGTTGGGAAGAAAGTTGAACATGTAATTATACACAGAGGGATGGAGTCAAAGTTTTCTGTTTACAGCAACTTTCTATATTTGTTATGATTGGATTTAGAGCAAACAAGCTTATTCTGTGTTTTACCTGTTTTTCCATGCATGTGATTTTTTTTTTATAATAAGGTCTCAAACCTAATCAGACATGTATGCTCCTAATCTATAAATACATACATGTGCATAAAAATGTGCCTTTTCTTCATAACTTTCCCGTTTGTAAAGTTTGGATTACAGTTTTGCTAGAAGTTTAACTAGTTCATGTGTCTATATTTATGCAGAAAGTGCTTTTTTTATTTATAGGGAAGGAACTTTTCTGCGATCCCCCACATCCTGTTGACAGAGTGTTTGCCAGACTCACTCACTGCTGCAGAAAATCCTGTCAGAGATTTAGCAAATTACCCTGCACAAAATAATCCAACGCACAATTCCAGGGATCAACATATGGTCCAGAAAAAAGATATTTTAAGGGGAACGCCTACAGAAAGAAGTAAACCTGGTTCCCAACAGGACCAAGATATATACCTGCTTCTCACAGACATGGAGATGAGACGGGTGTTACCTCACGAAGCTCAGGAACTAAAGAATATAGTACATAAAACTCTGAATATCTCAGCGCAGATTGAAGAGGTTTCTGTAGCAGAGCTGGATGAACGGCCTGTTCTAATGCATTTCAGAAAGGGAAATAGTCTTAAAGACACATACAGACTGCTGTATTCCCTTCTGGAGTCATCCAATCCAACCCCCCAAAGGAGATTAAGATCCTCCCATCAATCCCTACAGCAGCCCCCTTTCATGGAGGCTCTAAGGAGAGGGATTGAGACAGGGGAGGATGTGCTAACATTTCAACATGCAGATGAAGTTAGGATGGAGCCCAGTAATTGGGATTTATCCAGTCAAAGGAGAATCACCCAGGAGCTCCGACTGAGCACCTACCAAAGACTGGACAGTTTGGAGGAGACCATCCGAGAGCTGGAGAACACTGTAATAGAGATCAGTGGTCACTCTATGACAGAAGGGCTCTACACAGAGACAGAGGTGGCCCTCATGAGCGTTCCAGCCCAGCGGACTGGGAGTCTGAAGTCGGAGACCAAGAGGCCACCGGTTCCACCCAAACCGGCATCAATTCAGGTTCAATATTTGTTGCTGCTGCTGTATTAATCTCCCGCTCCTCAAGTAGCTTGCTCTATTTTTCCTTCTTCTCTGCAGATGAAAACTGGAACTTCCCTTTCAAGCCTCTGATGTCTGCTCCCTGAGCGATTCTACATCCAATTTATATAAGATCAAATGCATATACAGGCGACAGACAACAGACTCCTTATCTTTTTCTATATTCTGTGCTTCAATCTGGAGCTGCTCTCCTTCTGAGCCCAGTCTCAGTGATTATTTTCCTACCAATCTATTCCGACAGTCGCTCATTCCATCTCCTGTTAAATATATGCAAAGATAATGGCTAAACTATGTTATTTCTAAGATTTTTTTCAAATATATTTTTTGCTTATCAGCTCTCCATGAAATTAGCTTCCTCAGCCTCCAGGAAAACAGTTAACAATACCATCGTTTGAATTTTTAACCAACCTTTAGGGTATATTTAACATTTTACTAAATGCATTATTAAAGCATTCTACTACATGTGCAATAAGATTGTTTTGTACTGTTACTTAGGGTTTTTCTTACTAGGGTTGTTTAATATTGTTATTGTGGAGAGGAGTCAGACTGTTGGCGATGTAACAATCTACAGTACTTCAGATATAATGAGAAGCCCCTTTTCATCTCACCTTCAGTTGACCGCAAAGCAACAAAAGCTTAGCAATTAGCAAAATGTTTAAAGCATTCCTAATCAACTGTCTTCTTGTCGCGATGACATGACAGTTTGCGTAGTATTGACTCTGGCCTGGAATGCATCCTCCCACTGTAATACTTGACAGTCGCTGTCATAGTGAGTTTCAGCCCTCTGATGTGGAGCCATGGAGCGTTCCTGTGGGAATGGCTGAGGATTACAGAGTCTTCACACATTATTTCATCACTCCAGCTTCAATCACCATCATTTCAACCGACCCTTCTTCCTACTATGGTCCAAAATGTGCTGCAAACTAAATTCAGACAAGAAGTCTCTTTTCTTGTCCAATTGTGGTTCACAGTCCCCCCAAAAACGACAGGGCTTTACCAAACAGATGGAAGATTTACTGGGTTTTTACATTAAACAATAAGATTAAGAATACAATTATCTGCTTTTTAGTATCTTGATAATCTAGAGTCTTCATACCTCTTGATCCATTTTTTTATGTCAGAACAAAAACAAGAATATAGGCTTAGATAAATAAAGTGAAAGGAATGTATGAATGTTTTTAACATTTCTACAAATTGGAACTTGAAAGGTGTGTCATGCATTTGTATTCCTCCTGTCTTTGGTACTGATATGCTTATATAAAATCCTTAAATAAAAACTGCTCTCCATTTCATTGCTGATTTGTAAAGGCCCGAGACGTTTAAGAACATTATCACAGGTTGGGGATAAGTCAAGGTACATAAAGCAGGGGTAAAACAAGGTACTCTTCACAGAAGCAACAGAAATTCAATTCAATTCAATTCAGTTTATTTATATAGCGCCAAATTCACAACACAAGTCATCTCAAGGCACTTTACAGTTCAACCAGATCATACAGTCAAAATCAGAAATGATCATACAGTCAGAAATGTTGATTTGTGGTCTAAACACATAATGGTGTCAAGAAAAACAAACTCTTTCTATGTCACTATGGTTGCACAATTTCCAGAATAAAACATGGTGGTAAAAGCATCATAATGTGGAGCTGCTTTTTTCCAAACCAAAAAAGAAAATTAACTGACATGGACTGACTAAGCTCAGAAAATAAATCTGATCAAATATGCATTTAATCAGATTTGCCAGCTTTATTTATTTTGCAGAAAGAGTACGTTACATTTTAATTATCCTGATTTGCAAAGCTTGCAGACACACTCCATCAGGATTTGTTGCTCGCCTTCCACAGAAAGATTTTATGAAAGGTTTCATAAGCAGGGAGCTGAAAATAAATGGATGCCACACTTTTCAGATTCATATTTTTACGATATATTTGGAACATAATTTTCCTTCTAATTCAAAAGGAATTTGAATTAGAAGTTCGTCAACTTCATGGAAGTCCACCTCAGTTCTAATTCAAAATGAATTAGAAGAATTAATCTGTTTTGCTGGGTTAGCAGTCGGCGGTTTTACAGTCAGGGTAATTTAAAAAGTTCAAGGTATTTGGTAGGCACTTTAATCTTTTTTTGGTTGACTTTGTGTGCAGAAGAACCACAGCTTGATGGAAATGTAGCTGAATGTGTATTTCCCTTTGTTTTTATTAGAGGCGGTGGATTGAGTAGCTCAGTGGGAAAGGTCATTAAGCACAGTGGTTTGGGGCTCTTGCTGTGAAGCTATATCACATAGTGTCTTTTTTAGTGCAACACCTCATTCTCTGTGGAAAGAGGGTGAATTTTAGTCAGGTTTACACTTTTACTTTTATACCAGGTATCTTCTTATATCTATAAAAAAAATCTTTGCATTCTTTTTAGACTGGCTTGTATTGTTTAGTCCACCTTTTATTATGTAAATCCTTATTTGTGGTAGAAGTTGAAGATACTCCAGAGGGAAAGTGAGCTGTAGATTGAGGGGCTCCATATTTAATCTATTCTCTGTTCTATTTTTTCCTCTCTGTTGTTTTTCTCTCAGGGAGGGAATAATCCCAGCATAGGAAAAGTTCATTCCTCAGCTGCCTCAAAACTGAAGCATCTGCAGCAGAACAGCACAGAGAAGACTAAAAGTGGCAAGAAGGAGGATTTACAGAAGGCACAGAGCCTCCAACAGGTAACAGTTTACAATTAGCTCTGATAAGAGTAAACAATGTTTGATCTGTCAAAGTCATCATCTGAGCTTCATCATAACAGCCTACAAGCATTTATTATATAGATTACTTTTAAACTAAAAATTAGAATTAAAAGCCTTTTAAAGACAAATTTAAGGATGTTGGTATTAACTAGAACTTCTCTACACAAGTTAATAAAGTCTTTTAAAGTTTTATTTTAAATAATTTGGGCATATATTTCTGAAAACCATTGCTTAATTCACCTTACAGGATTAAATATATCTTTGCCTAGTTTCTTAATAATCATTTCATCATCTCTACTTAACTATTGCATATCGTCTTGGCATCCTTCGCCCTATAGAGGATATTACTTTATATGATAGTTTTTATGGGGATTAGATGATTTAAAAGCCACTTTTTGGTGAAATTGAATAAATGTTCAAGACTGCTGTATTGCCGATTATCTGACAGAGTTGCTGGATAAAATACATTATTATTTACATATTGGGAAATATATATATAAATATATATATATTCAAATTTGTCTGACTTTTTAATCAAAACCCGTCGAATAGTTCTTATTATTAACAACAGAAACAGATTTTCAACCGAAACCCCAAAGAAAACACATATTATGAAAGTTGTACATTGTTTAACACATCAGTGAAACACATAAAGTATCATTAAAAAAAGGATTTTCCTGCTAGCAGATTTCTTTAATTTCCAAATGATGCTTTCATTTTTTTCTGGGGAAAATCCATCAAAAGCAGCCCAGCCTTGTGTGAAAAATAAGTAATGAACTCCTAACTAATAATTGGCTGTCACCCTAAGTGGCATCGAGTTGCTATAAATGGCAATAAGTCATATGCATCTTTGTGGATACATTTGGGTGACTGTTACTTAATCCATTCTAATTAGGGGTAATTTCAACCATAAGCAGACTGTTTTAGGGCAAGTAAATGCAAGCACAGAAACTGCTAGCTAGACATTTTGCTTACAGAGCAATAAAGAGCAGAGTTTATGGTTCTATGGATTGGGGCAGGTCATCCAGGTGTTGATGCAGCAAGGCAGCCCCAGACCATGACACTACCACTTGTCTACAGGTGTAATGTTCTCTTTCTGAAATTCGGTGTTAGTTTATGTGCAGATCTAGTTCCAAAGAGTTCTGCTTTTCCTTAGTTTATTGAGAATCATAAAGCGGTTTTGGTAAATGTGGTCCCGGGGTCGGAACCGTCCCATATATGTTCTGCTAGTCCAGGTCCAGACTTTCTATTGTTGTTCAGTCATGAACTTTGATCTTAACTGCGAAAAAAGCAGGTCTACAATGTCTCAGACGTTGTTCTGAAATATTTACCGGCTTTCTGGATTATTATTATTAAGGACAATTTTATCGGCCTATTAAGGTAGATCCAGGGTAGTTTGTAAGTCTTCTCTCTAATAAAATCATATCCAAACTGCATTTTGAATTTACATGTTTAAATTTATTTCTATTAATGTTGTATTTAGGGATAAAAATTTGATTAATTGTGTATAATTTATTATTGAAATAATCGTCAACTAATTCAGTAATCATCAATCATTAACTGGAGTATAGATTCTAAACCCAATTACAGCAGTATTTATAACAAAATTGTGAAAGAATATATCAATATTTTGCATTTAAGATTAAAAAAAAACTTTTCTCCTCTCACAATAAGCTCTATCCAGAACTCCTCAAGTCAAAAAGTTTTACTTTCCCCTGGTTTTATTCTGTATATAATCTTCTTTAAGAAACCTTTGGCTAGCTGATTATTAATCGAATAACTGAAAAAAAATTGTCCGCTTTATTACCAAAATAATCGATAGTTGCAGCCTTAGGTGTTTTATGACATAAAAGTTTTAAATAGGACCAAAATTAAAAAAGGAAACTATAATTGCAATTCTAGTACAGTCCAAAATCTGTCCTCAAGGGTGGTGTCCTACAGGTTATCAATGTTTTTCAGCTTTAGCACAGCTGATTCAGTGATTGCAGTTCAGAAGATCCCTGGTTATCAGCTGTCAGTGGAAATCAACTAGTGTTGCGCCAATGCCATTTTTTGGCCCCGATACCAGATACCTGGCTGTGCAGTATTGGCCGATACCGATACCATACCAATACCATCTGTTTGAAATTGAAGTGTATGTGTATATATGAAGAACTGCATATTACTTGGATCTAAAATAATTGCCGTCATGGCTTTTTCAAGCTGCTGCCTACCTTTGAGAAGCGGGAAAAAGATTAATACAAAGTGAATCCAGTAGAACTTTTTATTGCCTTCCTGGAATGGGTGACAATAGTTGAATAAACTTTTGGCTCTCAAAATGTTATGGATACCCTATTTGTCGGCATCGCCGATACCGATACCACTATCTTAGTGCATCGTGCCCGGCCCGATACTGGTATTGGTATCGTTGCAACACTAAAACCACCTGTGCAGGAAAAGCTGTAAAATCTGCAGCATGGCGGCCTTCAAAGACCGATTTTGGACATGCCGGTTCTACTAAAACATGACTTAGTACTTTATGGTGAAGCCAGTGTTTTTAGGTGCCGCAAAAACACTGTTTAACCAGTTTTGTTCACTTTTCTAGAGAGATTTGGACCCTCAGATCCGAACCTGCTATTTTATTACACACTTCTAGATATTCCTTCGTTTTTTTGGCTGTATTTTCTTGGACGTTGTTGTGATGGAATGCCATTCGTCAGAATTAATGCTGAGAGAAGAAGGTGCTTCCTAGTACTTTAAAAGTAGTTGACCACATATTGTCTTTATATAAAGAATAATTTTTTTTTCTCTCCTTCAAAGAACTTTTATTCAGCAACTTTCTCTAAGTCATTTAGATGTTTTGGGAAACATATTAGACCAAGAACGCTATTTGGCAAAGAAATTCAAGATTTTAATAAAGTTTGTTCTGATCTAGTGTCTTTTCTTTGTCAACTGGTCCCCTTTGGTTGAAGAAAATAAAACACATCCTTTACTCAAAGACACAAACATTTTATGTACTTATTTAGTAAGTTTCATAATCTGCCTTTCAACTTTAGCCAAATAACTAAAGACATTTTCTACAGTGCCACAGTTTCTACCATTGCTGGGCTGCTATGAAGGGGTGAAAACAATAAGAGTAGAAGAGGATTTTTTATACCCTTATAAAGCTGTTAATATTAATATGTTCCCCATACGTTGCTCAATAGTTGGCCCTACAGGGTTTTTCTTTTTTGTATTTAACTTGTTAGCATTTAAAGAGGTGATGTAAAGTAAAAGGCTGAACATAAGGATGCTAGATGGTCTCCAGAGGCAAGGAAATTAAACTGCTGAAGCATGTCGGTCGAGCAAAGCCAGGAGAAGATTCTTGCCAATGCACAGGGGCAAGAAAAGCTTAATGTCGATGTAATTTGAAAAATAACAGAAGCAGTGAAGTGCACCTAAACCTTCATAACCTAGAGCACTTTCAGACTCATAGTAAGTTTTTTAGATTGCAGAGAAATGAGCGTGTTTGGCCGAGAAAGAGAGGGAGAGATTTGGGAGATGGCAAAGTAATGAGGCTTTGGTCTCCTCAGACTGAGGGAAGATTGGGAAGAACCGCTGTGGTGCCATTATAACCGCCACTCCAGTCCCTGGCAATCACAGATGATTTAATATGAAGAGGGCATCTCACTTTATGTCATTAAATCTTTTTACGTTTTTCCCCCTTTATGTCACTTTTCCCCTTTCTCTGCTTACTGTACTCTGCAATTTATCCATGTCTCCTTTTTTTCCCCTTTTCACCACCCTTTGTTGGTTTTGTTCATTCCCTGAAATTTGAAGGCTGAGTAGATGCTTACAATGGTCAAATGAAAGGGAAATTAATCCCATTATTTCAGAATGACTCTGACGCTGCACAGTCTATTTTGTGCACAAACTGTTCAAAACAGCTATTCCTCCGGGTGTGTGAAAGCAATATCCTCAGAGGGCTTCAGACCCTCAAACAGTCAGAGGCGAAGAAATGGAGCTGCAGCAGTTTACATACAAGTAGGCAAGAAATACATTTTCAATAATAAAAGAAATAAGGAGAAAATTGATTTAAACCAGGGAACGAAAAAAAATACACTGTGACGGACTATTAATTGCTGATTTTTTTTTGTACTGAAACACAAAGCAGTCTGAGGATAAAGTAAGGATTGTTGCATTAAGGGAGCACAAAGCTTTGTTGAGGAAAATGATGCACCATATTTATTAAAGTACTGCAGCTGTATGAGGCTGTATTTTCATTTAAACCTGAATGATTTTCTTCTTCACTTTTTTCCTCTCTGTAGAGCAACCCTCTGAGGTAAATCTGTCTATCAAAATTTTAACTCAATAAAAAAAACATCTGTGCATGGACGAGTTGATTACTAGGAGCTGATGAAATGACGCACTACATGGTAAATGTCAAACTGGATTTCTATGGCAACAGGTTTTATTAAGCTTAGCTTGATTTCTTTATTTATCTATGATAGAATGCAAAATATGAGAAAAAAAGACAAAAAGTTATTTTAATTTTTAAAGGGTATCATTTTGCAGTAGTTCAAAATTTGCATTTTAAATGTTGTTTTACAGTTAAAATTACATATCAGTACCAACTAAAACAATTTCTAGTTGTATTACCTACAACAAATATGCTAAAATGTTTAAAAGCACCCTTTCTAATGGTTCCCAACACCGATTTGAAAAAAGCCTTTAAAATTACTGCTGTTGCATATATTGGTGTATAACAATTTTATCTAACGTAAGGAATGTGAACTATTTTTGTTTTTCAAATTCACTCTTTTTAAAATTATCTGAGCTTTTAAGGATCATCAGTTAGTAGTCCATCCCTCCCTGCTTCCCTGGGATTTAATGCATGTGATGGAACACAAAGTACTCCTAAAAATGAAACTTAGTTAAATAAAGAAGATGGGAAAGTTGGTAAAAAAAAAAAAAAAAAAGGGTTTTCAGAGCTTTTTATTAGAGAACTCCAAATATGTCGTTGGGAACACTAACAAAAACATTTTGAACCATGGGCTTAAAACAGTTTTGGCTAACATTTTGAATACACCTGTCCATATCCGACATAAAGCAAAGGATGAATATGTGCTGATACACCCTGTGCTCTCTATATATGTTGGAGGACCTGTGATGCTGTGGGCCGGAAAACTGCATTCAAGGTTTTATAAACACTTAAAAATCCGGGACATTGAAATAAAAACCATGAAAGTCTACCTAAGAAAAATTAAAATAGATACTCAGTACATGATTTGCATAATGATGCAAAACGGCCAGATCTGTGTCGGCCATCTTAGTCCCCTGAACTAAATCCTTTCAGAAAGCTTTCAGCGTAAACTTCATAGGAGAGGGAATAACAGGATACTCAGGACTCTAGATTATCTAGAAATAATTTGCAAATAGGAAAGATCTCTATGTTCTGAAGTAAATGATTCCGCAAGAACCAAATTTCTCTTAATTTTTTTCCCCTAACTGAATAAACACACTAAAATAATGGGAGAGTTTTAAGGTGGGATTATTTATCTAGAAAAAATAAGTTATTTTAAAAGGTTTAACATCCCAGGATGCGCCATTAACTGAAGCTATTTTCCCTTTTAAGCTCCTTATATTTTTACTAAGGCATTTCAGACATGAGGACCAACCAAAGCTCCTTTTTCTCCATGTTAGCTTTTCCACAAATGAAGGGATCAATGCAAAGATCACTGTCATATGTTAAACCTTTCAAGTCTCCATTTGCAGCACTAAATCAGGTCAGCTGTAGGTGACGAGAAGAGGTGGAGATAGTGGTGTTATATTATTCTTGGGTGTGAAGCTGTCAGTGTGTATATAGTAGGGAAAACTCATAGACCAGAATAACAGTATGAGTCAGGTTTGAGAAGAGTGTTCCTAGCAGACTGTACTGGAGTAAATGCAAACCTTTCAGCTATATATATTTCACACAACAAAAGTTTTTACATTTTCTTTCCCTTTGCTCTTTTCAAAAATGCCAAAACTTTCCTGACTAAACTTACTTTTTGTGTCCCAGTATATGTGTTCTGAAGAGTGTTTGTCTTGCTCCTACAGCATGCAAAGGGTGTCTGTCACATACATTCACATCAGAGCCTGAGAAACAGTCATCTTGAAAATGTTATTTCCCACAAGTTTCATTCTGTTGAAACAGTGCCATCTACTGGCTGAGTCTTCCATTATTAAAAGAAATAAAGGTGTGGCTCTGTATGTTCATCTTAGTATGTTGTTTTTTTTTTCAACGAATGAACATCATAAAAAAAATGTTATAGTAATAGTAGTCAACAGTGTAATATTCTGTCTGTCACTGTTGCACCTTATCAGTGGGATCAGTGGTTCTGTCATCATGTACAGATGCTAGCCTCTGTATTGGCTTTCATCACACATGCTGATATCAACCTAAATAACAATCTCCTGTGTTTGTCTCCTGTTCTCACTCCCCCTCCCCTCCACTGTATGTTTTCTTCTGATACTCCATCAATCCCCCTGTGTGAACCTGTGCTGCCCCTCACCTCCTGACTGGCATGTCTGCTGCACCTATAACCCAGCAGCAGTGAGCGACCCGTCCCCGCCCAGCCTCTTCAGCTTCCTCCACCTCCTGTTCACGTGACTAAAGAGATACACACTTGTCTGCCCGCTTTACTTAACCAGCTCCTTTGACATCATTAGTCTTCAATCCAAAATGATGCTTCTAGATGTGTGAATGTTTGTTTTTTTGTGCAAGCAAGCTTGCACAGGTGTGTTTGAATATGCCGACGGGATGATGCTGCAGGTAGCACTGCAGCCACAAACCATCTTAGGGATTTTCTTTACACCTTTTTCAATTTTTCATAATTTCAACCCCCTGAAAACCTCATCTCTTTGCGCTCCTCCTCCACCCCTTTCTGTCTTTTTGTCCCTGCTCTACTCCAAGGCCTTGGGGATCAACAAGGGAACCGCCGAACCATACCTGTCTGGACTGAAAGCAAGTATTTTTTTAGGCCGGATGCCTTCTGCAGCCTTTGCACCCGGCTTGAGAATGTCCCCCCACGAGGGGACCGCACCCTCCCTGACAGTCTCCTCCAGCCAAGCAAAAGCCCTACTGGCAAGCCTGTCAGCCTCTGGCCTGTGCACTGAAGCCCTGCTCCTGTCCTCCGCTCTGCGTCAACGCCGCCTTCTCCGGGAGCAGAAAGGATCATCCTCTCTTCCCAATAGCTTGTCCTCCACACCCACATCCTCCTCTTCCCCCACAACCCCTACTCCATCCCTGTCTCCCTCCTCTCCCACACCGCTTGGTAACTTTACTTTCTCCTCTATGGTTGTCAAACCCACCAGAGGAAGATCTGACAGCCCCCAACTGCTCAGCAGCCGTAAGGATGGTGACAACTCCTAATGGAGGGAGGAGGACATGGACAAATACAAATCCAAAATTATCTTTATATAGAAAAAAATCTTTTTTTCGAGATATTTTCTTTCAGGATTTCTTATATCCACTTTTTTTTCTCACTGATGTAGAAAGCAACAGACTCTGAGTTCATCATAATTTCTCTCAGTTTTCTTCTTGGACAAGTGTCCTTCTCTCGTCTGGTTCCACGGTCTCCCACACAGTCCCACTGCCAGATTCCCAAACAGAATGCACACAAACATGCCAAGCCTCCCTTTTCCACCAGCTGTCTGCTACAAGGTTAGTGTGGTCGAACACGTTCTCATTTCATGGGCTGTTTGTGGTATCGTTTTCATATCTAGACTGTGGTTATGAAAATAGAGTTGCAATAATAGCCGAGTGAGTCGGATAGTTCTATATGTTTAGGATGATGTTGCTCTTTCTTACCTGCCTAATCTGATAGAAAAGCTCTTCTCAGAAAATATTTACAAAAGCCAGATGAGATGAATGTGGTTTTGAGCTGTTTGTGCAAAAAGGACACTCTTTTCTTTTTTGCATCAGCCACATTTTTAAACTTCCAATCGGTGCTATATTTTCCCTTCATTTGTGCACAATAAGAGTTTACATGATTGTTCATCCCCTTTGCACATTACTCTGGGTTCTAATTTAATGTTGCATTTTAAACCTTGGTATGCATCTCTGTAAATGAAAACATTGCATCTGGTATTGCATTTATGGCATCTTTAAAGTGAAGGAAACAAGAATATTGCAGCATTATTCATGAAAGCACACTGCATTAAGCAGCCATGACACTAAGAAACTGCAAAATTACACTAAAAGAAAGAAAATTAGAAAAGGAGGTTGTGTATAACCCATGTGGATTTACTGTATGAGTGTTGTGACTTGTTGTTTATGACAATCAGGGTGTTTTCACCGTAGCATCTCGCAGGTCGCTCTGACATCCAAAACCCATCCCAAAGACTCAAGCACGCACCTGTAAAGCTAAGCTGTACAGCACTGACATAATGTGTGTGTTTTTTATTTTATTTTATCTTTTAAATCCTATACGACCAGATATGTTATGATGCACCTGGGGTTGAAATGGACCACAGTGACCGGAATATTTCACCCATAAAAATCATATTAATGTTCCTTTAAAAAGCGCCCAGATTTTATCATAGTTTATATGTTTTCATTAACTCTAGTGAAAAATGTATATGTATTAAAAATAACTTTTCAATAGCACAGGTTTATATATCATATATTCCCCCTTATGAGGGAATCAGGGCATCATAAATATGTAGAGAAAGCACAGTTTCCCCCCTGAAAACAAAATAACAAGATACCCCTTAAATAACTTAATTATAGGTTAGGAGGCAGTGCAATTTTCAAATATAAAAAAATCGTGCAATGACAGAAAAGAAAAATGGAAATTTTCAACCTAGAACTAGAGGTGAACTGTAAGTAAACAAGTATATTGAAATAAGCTAGAATGATACTGTAAGATAATTAATTCAGTCATTCAGTTAAAGTAGAGAAACGCATAAAAAAGGATACACATTTACACAGTGTGAAAAAAAATCTATTATTTCTGTTAATTTTGGCTTACAATGGTTGAAAAAAAAAACAACAAAAATGTTTCTTTTTTCTTTAAAGATGTTTATGTTATGGTCATTTTATAATCCTGCAGTCATGGGAAAAACTGCTGACACAAAATATGGCTGTTCAGAGAGTGACATTATTATGCACACAGTACTAATGGAAAATTGATTGGAAGGAAAACCTGCTTTAAAACAAGTGTAGAGGCGAAAATGATTTATGAGCTATAGAGATATTCACAAGACATATCTGGGATGAGTTAATCAAATCCAGATCCTCTTATCTGAGCCAAGGAGAACAATTGACCTGGCTGTTTTTTTTTGTGGTCCTAAGCTCTCTTTGTGTAAGTTGGTTCAGTGTGTAGTTGTCCAGTCCCAATCATCTGCTGTAGCAGAACATTTATGTGTGCACTGAGTTATTTATTTTTTTGTTTTGTTTAATTAGCTGTAAGCAATACACCAAGATTAACAGAATTATACATTTGAAATATATTACACACTTTTCTTACCTTCCAAATTTACGTGAAATTACTAAACCATATTCACTTTTTCATGATATTATACATTGAGATGGGCCTGTTGGGCATTTGCACACTGATGTCAGACATTTAAATCATGCTAACTGAAGGAAAGAGTCCTGATTGTAATTGGTTTGTCACAGTCTTACAGAAAACTGTTTACTTGGTGCAGTCATTAATCCATCATAACATTAAATAAAGATTCAACATGTGAAATGTTTGCAAAAAAAACATATTAGTTCAACTAATGGTTACTCTGGCAACATATCGAATGCCAACAAGCTATTTTAAACTCAATCTAAGATTCTTTAATATTTGTAATTTCAACAATTATATTTACTTATTTTGCTCTGGCTCAACATTTTTAAAAATGTCACCTAATGAACTGGATTGACTTTGATGAGCACAAAACTAGATGCGACATGTTATTCAGAAGCCCTGGTGTTTTTTTTGACAAATGTTTATTTACATTATATCACAGGGGTACAGTTTTTATTTGTAGATCCTTGATAATGGACCGTTCTGGGGATGCATGCCCTCTATGTTTGCCTGGAAGCTGCCTCATATGCTCACAAGGTTAAACGGAAAGTTACACTTCCCTGCTGTTCTCCAGAATGACTCAAAGTAACTGATTCTTTTTGGCTGTGAGATTAACACATGTGCAAAGAGAGTAGGAGATGTAAGGAGCAAGGATTAGTTTGAAGGCTAGTTTAATAAGGCCAGCTTTGACTCGCCCCATCTCCATTGAGAGTGCTGGTGTGAAAGAATGAGTCTGACAGTTGGAGACAGTAATCTGCTGCTTTTTCCCCTTTGGTTTCACTTTGCCTTCTCTTTGTATGTGCGGTCTGTTAAAGTCATTTAACTTGAGGTTAAGTTTACTTTTGTTGGGATTTAGCTCTGTACATGTGCAATGTGTATTTGGCATGCCCACTCTCCTACCAACGTATTCCTCTTTGCCTTTATCTTACTAATGCCTCTACGTCTTCAAGGACCTGCTAAGGTTTTTCCTGGTGCCTGAATGATCTTTTCATTAAGTATTATATCAGCAGCACTGACAGAATAGCACTGTTAACCACAAAAGGGATCGAGAAAATGTCCTGTTTTTTTTGTTGTTGTTTCATTTTTATTTATATTTTAAGAAAAGAATCACTTGAAGCACAGAGTTTCAGAATACAGACTAAAAAGCCCCTAAAGTCTTGACAGTGCAAATCTGCAAACTCACAGCCCCATACTTAATGCATTTTGGTCTGCAAGGCAGATTTAAGCTCTGGGTTAAAAACTGAGTCAAATGAAAGGAAAACCCTTAAAGCTGTAACTTTTCGAGGTAAATTTGCTGTTTTTGCATTTGGTGAGCAGCCAGAAGGAAGTAAATGGTAGTTTAGCCCAAGCAGAATCGGAGAACCATGTTAAAATGTCTCCTGGACTTTTTTTTTTCTTAAATGGAAGTGTTAGTGGGCTGCAGTTCCAACACGCTTGGGGGGGCGGGGCTTCAAGCATGTTGAGCACTCTGGCAATCATAAAACCCCATGCACACTTGAAACTAAACATAGGAGAAATATACATATTTAAATATATCTAAGTGAGATGTTGTGTATGATATAATTGTGAAAAAAATGTGAATATATATATAAATATTTAGGTCTAGATTAAGTTCGATACTGTAAATTGTCCTCATCTCCTCTGATTTATATATTAGTGACCATTTTGTACAGATTTTTCTTTTTTAATTCATCCAGAGAGATATTACATTTCACACTGAGATTATTTATTCACATGCAGAGCATTTTTATATATTGTTTAAAATATATGTGTAGATAACTGTTAGGCTCTGTAATATACTTTGAAGTTGATTTTGAAATTGTAAAAGTTTCTTTTATGAACAATGAGTTAAACTTTATGTAATTATGAGGATTTCAAAAGCTTTTCCCTGAAAATGCTCGTCCAGCTTGTCTGCACCTTTGCCTCCTAATGTTAACGTGTAGGAGGCTGGACCAGTGCCTGTTAGTAGGGGCTTATTTTGCTACTATCATTTCATTTAGGTGTGGGTCACTTTTCATGTGTTTTTCTTTTTTCCTCACCTTATTCTGCCATTCTGTGTTTATGATCTACATAAATGGTATTAGCGACACTGGAGATGGTCAGAAACACAGAAAATGTAGTACTTACTGTGACATGAGTCCAAAGGCTTCACAAACAGGCCTTGCTTTGATTAAAGGGAGTTATATGGCTTTATTTATATATTTTTTCCTGGTTTTATTTGTTTGCATGTGACTTGAGATGGCAGGAATGTGGATAAAAAAGGTTCAGAAACTGTAAGTGTAGATCTTGTTGCTTATATTGCTTCAGTTTGTGGCTTTAAGTAGCATTTAAGCTAAACTATCAAAATGGTAAAAGATGAACTCATTAGGGAATCATGCAAAGATGTATGAAGTCTGTGATTTTGCCATTGTAGTTTTTTTTTTCTTCAGATGCTCTACCTACATTCTGTTGTATGTATATGAGATTTTTACTTGAATGTGTGGATGTTCAAAAATCTTGGCATCAAAAATATATATAAAAAAAGATAAAATTGACTTGTAAATAGGCTGAGTAATAGAGAGTTTACTGAATTATGTCCAAAAGAACATGTTTTATTAATAAACTATGATGATGGATACAAAGGTATATACAAAAACAATGCATGTATAGTCTCAAGCAAACGCACGGTGCAGTTTAGAAAAAAAAAAAGTTACGTACATGTTTTTTCAAAGTTGTAAGAAAGAGCCGGAGGAGTGGTTTACAAACATGAACGATACGTTATTTCTGTGACACAGGCATGTTCAGTCTTACTGTGGAGTTATGTGGTGATGACGATAGTGGCTGGGAGTGTTGAACGTCCAGGGATCAGAAGGCTTGAACGCACCCCAACGTGAGAAATCAGCAAAGTATGAATTTCCCATTTGTAGAGTAGTGTGACATAAGAATAAAAATAACTACAGATCAATTATATGAGATCAATAAAATTGAAATGCCTACTGATACTGGAGGTAATTTATCAGTGTGGATGCCATGATATTCTGTGAGAAATGTGTGTTGTTTTTTTCTGTGAGAAGACAGCAGGTCTGATCCTGCCTTCTTTTGTACATAATTTGCTGTGATTGTGTGTCTAATAAAGTGCAGCCCTCTTGTACAGTCTGATTTTGCTTTATTCCTTCTCTTTTTATGACTTTATCTCAAACACAATTCCAGCATCTTGTGTCATAAAGATAACAAATACAAAAAAAACAAATGTTTACAAAAAGGTTTACATAAAAAATAAGATAATGTTTTGAACAGTGTCACAAATTTTAAGCATACAGGTCCACTGAGATAAAAGTAAATGTTAAAAAAAATGTAATTATCAGAGTGGATGAAGTTAAAGTTAAAAATGTTCTTCTCCTGTATTTACATAGCTAATTAACACTAAGAATACAGTTAATACAAAATGACTGATGCTGGTTCATGTTATACTGTATATACAATACACACTGAAGGTTTGTTAAAGTTGCTTTTATATTTGAGTTTACATAATGTATATTTATCAAAAACACAAAAAATAAACCATAATTTCCTCAGGTTTCTTGGCGCTGAGCCGGACGACGACCGTCTGTGCGTCTGTACGGTGTGCTTCTCAGATCTGATGGAATATGATACAAATCATGGTGTCATGAAGTCAGAACTTTACATACTGTTTGGCTTTAGACTCAAAACGAGTGTTTTTTGATACTGTACCTGTAATAATATCCTCCAGAGCGCCATCTTTTCCCTCGCGCACCGGAGGTTTCACCTGCCTCTTCTTTAGCTCTGCTAGAAAATCCATCTTTGGCATCATTGGACCCTAGAAAACACAAATCATTAGTCACATTTTTTTTTTTCCGGCTGGATATGGTGTATTATTGGCATCTGTATCTTGTAAAATGACAATATCAATGAATATTAATGAAATTCAACTGTTCATTGTGAATACAGCTACCAAAATGAAAATTGGAAAGCTAGGTTGAGAAAAGTGAGCCCATTGAAACGCTATTCCACAAATGTAAAATATATGCACTCAGTCCTTGATTGGGGCTTGTTTTTAATTAATCGCTGCACTGATGGGATTTAGAATGAAGGTGAACAGCTTGTGGTTCTGCCGAGGTGTTAAAGAAGCTCCGCTTGCTTTATTAATGGCCTTGAGCTTGTCTGCATTGCTGTTTCTGGTGTTTCCTCTACTTCTCAAAGACACTGTTATAATTAGAGCTACATTCGATTCAGTATTCTTTTAATACAATTTCTCAGTGGGGTTAAAGTTAAGGTAGTTTGCTGACAAATGGTGTGAAGTTCTGCTGAAAAAAAATGCAAGAACATCAGAATCTCCAAAAAGCTTGATAGTAGGGTTTGATGCTGTATGTATCACTGTTTCTGGTAAAGAAACTGGATCAACACAATTGGAGACTGCATGTCTCTAAAAGATCAACTGACATGAAGATCCTAAACAGGACTTCAAACAAACTGAATTTTGTGCTTTTCCACTCCTCCTCCAGACTCTGGAACCTTGATTTCCTAGTAAGACAGTTGTTTTCTGTTTTCTCAGGTTGCAATAGCTATAACCCATTTCATAGATTTATTGTGAAGCTGTGGCTCTGGGCATAGTACATGCCTTGTGAATCCCCTGGATTTTGCTTCACACTACTCTCAGACTGCAGCTATTTATGTTGCAAACCAAGCACGTTTCTACCATACTGTCTTCTGTCACTTAACTCATTAATATGGTTATGTAGGGTGTCGGCATTGGTATGCTGGACAACTGTCAACTCAGCAGGTCTTAATGGTTGTTATGGCCACAGAAATGCTAATGCCATGCAATGACCATGTCCTTAGTCATTCATGCGAAAGACCAAGAGCTGAAATCATCTTTATTTAAAGGAGGACAGTTTTAAAATATGCTTCTTTAATATTAACAATGATGTCTTACGCTTGTATGTAAACGTGTAAACCAAGCTTCTCTAGTAACTGCTCTTGGCTGCCCCCTGCTGTTGCTGGGGTACTTAGCAAGTAACTTAGTTTGCCTATGTCTTGGACTGCATCCCTTAGGAAATATTCAGTTTAGGACCACCCATGCTACATGCCTCTAGTTAACAACAATTTGAAACAGAAATCTTTGTACCTTTTGTGATCCTCCCTTGTTTGGAGTTGTTGGTGTTTCCTTTTCCTCAGAACTCTCCTTTTCCATT